GTGTAGAGAGCGAAAGTGAGCGTTACCCCTGGATATCGAGGATGAAGCTATTATTATAGAAACGTATTATTTATCGTAATATGTTCCCGGTAGAAATATTTAGTTAATATTAAAACAAAATATATCCTTAATCAACCGATCGATCAATCCAAATATACAATTTGCTTTATAAAATTTAGCTTCAAAAGAAATAATGCTTCGTTGTGATACACATTGGAATATCGATATTCTTAACAGATATTTGTCGACCAAATTCGCCAAAAAATTGTTGATAAAGATGTCATAATGACGATATAATCATCGGTGGGTGATTTTTATCAAAATTTTAATCATATTTAAGGTTGTGATGGAGTAAAACATACCTATTCATATTTTCACGAGAAAGCCGAATCACAACATTTTCGGGAAAAGATAAAAAAAACAACAACCCCCACTTCATTTGAGTTATTCTTGTAACATATGCATCATGTACTGTACATACCGGTAAACACTACGGAATATTTGCATTTCTTCAGCATGGAAGCTATCCTCTTGGCCTCCCTCTTCAACATGACGTCACTGTTATAGAACTCCACAGTCATTGACGCCTCGGCCACCAGGAGTTTCTCAAGTTCCGTAACGTGTATGTTACTGGTTACCTGGTTACCAACTGTCACGTGATTGTTGTTGTTTGTCTGGTGGTTGCCGTTCGCCATGTTGTTGTTGTTTGTTTTTCTGGCTGCTGCTTCCCGAATTATTTTCCAACATTTCATGTGAAATTTCGCCTCTCCATTGCCGTCCCAAACGGCAAGCATTTCATCTAAAGCAAGATAAAGGTTAATGGTTTAGAAAATGTCTTATTTTTACAAAGTTCCAGTTGCATTTAGATTGAATATGATTGTCACACGAACAGTGGTTTTATGCATAGATTTGCCAATTTTTAAATATTTGAATCTCACATAAAATAGTGTCGCTTATCAAAAGTACAAATGATGAATAATTTCTACGATTTCAATAAATGATCATCCATCTTCCGTGAAGCGGAGAAGGGTCAATGATTTTCAGAATAATTACTATGACGTCATAATTATGATTACAATAACAATCGAATACTATAATTGCCTGGTGATTTTGCTATTGATTAGATATTTACTTTTCAATTGCTCTTGACCTGTATTTAGTTACAAAATATTAGTGCTGACTAACTATGACGTCATATTTACTCTGACGTCATTAATATAATTTGCTATAACTGCTCGATATGGCCTGAAACTGTTCTGTTTATCGATTAAATATGTTCTATGCACAACATCGTGACATTTTACGAAAGAAAATTCTTGTTAATAAGTACTATTTCTTCACAAATGGATTGTTATCATTGCGATTCCATCTTGGAATGCAGTATCTTACAGACATACTTATAACGCGCTTCAGATTCACACCTGCATAATTGTGGAAATATACTTTTCAATCCGCATATAGTGACAATGTCATGCAGTTTGTGAATATAGATAGGCAGTTCCACGAAAGGTGGTGTAAAGCTCTATATAGATAACCACACATACCTTCTCTGGCCTCCAAACCGCTCTCTTTGTTCTGGTAAGGCGCACGAACATGGACCTTGTTGTCACTTGGCTTCAGACCTTTGTTCTTACACGTCTTCAAACAACAATTACTGTTGTTCAGCAAAGAGGCGGATGCCATAGTCGTTTTCTATAAAGTCCAAAATGTAAACTCATCAAATCTTCACATATGACCTTGATGTTAGGTAACATTATGAATAGTAGCACTGTTTTTTTTTACAAAGCCGTGACATGGACACAGAAACATAAACTCGTAGGGCGGTAACTGATTGATTCTACAGCTGGTGGCTTCTGTTTTGTTTCTACGGATTTTCAACACATTATACAACATCTCCACCCACATATCACGTTGATTAATGAGAAAAGTACAAGTATTGTGTATCCCCCAAAAATTGTGCAGCTAATCTGTAACCTTATTTTCACATAGGATTGAGAGGCGATCACCTCAACAATATCAACTCATTGTATGTAGCTTTTGAGCACCTGCTATGCAATGACGTCTTCGAACATTCTGTTGTCAGACGATGTGATACTAGGTCAATATATTATCCTTATCTATATAAACATTGTGTTACATAGTCTACATCATTTCCTAGGATACTACACACGTTGCACGAACAATAAAATCCGAGATGGTTAGCTAAAAAGTTGTTTCAATACTATAAATGAAATGATATATGCATGTTAAACCCAAAGAGACGTGTCTGTTCGTGTAAGTTTCTCCTTAAATATACCTTAGATGAACAAATGTAGATATACAAACCCTACAAAACATTATAGGTACAAATGTAGTTATACTGACCCTGCAAAAAAGATGTACAAATGATAATGTATGGACTAGAAAAAGTATTAGATGTAAAATGTAAATATACCGAGTTTGCAAAATATCGTATGTACAAAGATGTACCGACCATACAAAAAATAGAATAGTTGATGTACAGATGTAGATATATTCATCATAAACATAAGCCGAGCATGTTGTCCGATCCGTATGGTATTGCAAAGACAGTACATTTAAAATAGAAACAAATACTGCAAATCAATGCATAGCATTTTTATCTCACCTGGCTTACGTGCATAATACATAATGTAGATAACAAAATCGTGGCCTGGAGAAGAAGGAAATACAATATGTGAATAACACAATGCTATGACTACTTTAAGGGTTTTAAAACAAACTTTCATCAAAACACCTCACAATTTATGGCCTAGATGTAAATAAGACAACAAAATGAAGCTATCCAACATTTAACAACTTGTGGTACCACTGCCAATAGTTTGGTACTGATGAAGTTGATTTATGACACAATGAACAACAACGGTAGTCACTTATGTCAGATAAATAAGTAAATTGGTGGACAGACGGACATGTTGACAATCAAGCAAACACGCTGTCCCCACAGCTGTAGGTAGGGACATTATCTAGCTTTAACGTACTATTACTTACCGGGAAAACGTAACAAATATACACACATACACTGGGGTAACTGTTTATGCTACGTACCTGTTTGGCCTGCTCCTCGATATCATACTGATCGTACACGCGCAGTCATGTGGCTATGAACATTTCTTAAAATAGACATGATGCAGTATTCACGCTGTTTGCTGTCAACAGTCTATTTTCGATTAGTAAAACATTTAAACCCAGATATGATAATATATTTATAGTTAAAGCCGTAACGGCTGTTAAGATAAAACCGTCTACGATTTACCTGTTAGTTTTATATAGTAAAACAATTTTATAACAAACCAGATTGTATCTAGGAATTTAATAAATATTAGCATTACTTGTTACAGAGTTTAATTTGATTTCTTAGTTATAGAACACGCGCGACTTTTCTTATGAAGAAGATTTTGTAATACGCGTGTTTTATGTAGGTTTCTGTTTACTAGTCTTAAATAGATTTTAGACAAACATACTTTGGAAGGAATATTTTTGTTTTATAAAGTATTCCATTTATTTTTACAAACACTTGTCGCCATTTTGAGTTATCGATCAACTCCCTTGCTTTTATATAAACGATTGATAGTTACAAGAGTAGCAAGGAAATGAATGTCGAATGTAGGACAGTAGATATACTTTATTTGAAAGTATACTGTTGGATTCATCTTAATTTTTTATATTAAAATATATATATTACAGATTATAACCCTCCACCCTGTATAATAAATCAAGAAAAATCAAGATCAAGGTAAGTTTCATAAGTGCGGTGGGGCCTCTGAGATTTGTGACCTCTTAGGACATCGTTCAATGTCAATGTGTTCTAGTTTTTTAATTCTATACATTATTCACATACAGGGACATCATTCGTCGACATAAACACGAGTTCACCTTCAGTGGCCATGTCACCACCTATATCGTCAGGTGTATACAGTTCATAGACTAAGTTCGCCAAAGATACCACCATCATTTCCGCGCATATAATTATCAACCACGTGTACCAGAATGTAAGTTTTACAATTGAAGGGGAATCAGAAGGTAACATTAAACGTTATTCCTTCATCATTTCATATTCCTTGATTCTAGTTATTTTTTTCGTCTTATTTTCTTCTATGGACACTCCTTGGCTATTTCGACATATCCTTTTCCAGCAGTCTTAACAGAATAACAAAAATTAGAAAAATAACTATGTTGATTCCGTTGTCAGATGATGTGATACTAGGTCAAGGTATTAACCTTATCTATATAAGCATTGAGTAACACTGTCTATATCATTACCTAGGATACTACACAGGTTTCACGAATAACATACTCCGAGACGGCATTCGATAGATAGCTTAAAAAGTTGTTTCAATACCATAAAATGATATACGTATATTAAACCCACATATACGTGTCTGTTCGTGTTAGTTTCTCCTTAAATATAACATTTAAACTAATACAAAACAATACGAACC